CTAGTTTAAAACTCTTATGATTAGACAGCTGGTCTTTCTCTTATGATTTGATCTTTTTATCTTCAGTATATGGTCTGAATGTATATGTGTATACAAAATGTACATTTTACTAAATTAATATACCCTTCCTACTATTAAAAAGACCCCAGCTATTTGTTTAGACTGAATCATTTTAGGCCAGATTTCATTTATTTTTTTCTGGAAATTATATTGTAATGGTAAAACTGATGATTGAATTTTAATTCAATAAGTCTAGTTTTGCCTAATATGTTGTCAAATATACACAAGCAGACACATTGCAGAAACTATGCTAATTAAAATTAACATCTCAGCATATTGGGAGAGTTAGGGCAACAGGCTATTACTGGATTTCTATAGAAGCAACCTACTTATTCAGAATTATTTTGTCAATAAAAGGTATCTAGTTATTTTCATTTCTCATTTAAGAAAACACATGAGTTTAAATGAGACATTTTTCAGATGTGTGGTTTCAAAACCTTCCCATCTGCTCAGATTTGGACTTGTTTAGAAAATATGGAATTTGGAATGTTATTTCAGAGATCTGAAAAAGTTGTATAAACCAGGAAATACATTGTGTCTCCCTATTTATATGCTGTATCACAGTTATTTGCAATATTTACTGTGCTATCATTTTCTATGACACTATAAAAAGATATGAAGTTAAATGTGTATAGGAAAAGAAGCACATGGTCTGCATGGCTGATCACAAAACAGATAGCTGCTCTTATTCCTGTTGCTTTGCAGAAGCAGAGGGAAATTAGTATTAGTACAGCATTAGGCACTGTGGTTTAAATCTTTCTTCCCAGTGATGTATCTAATTCCAAACCTAAATCTTTTCTGCCAGTGATGTATCTAATTATAAACCTAAAATTTTAATTGAAACTAGTATATCCAAAATTCACTTGTTGCAATTCTAGTTAACATTTGACATAATTTTTTTTACAGACATTCATTTATTAAAAATATCACCAAAATATTAGATAAATTGTAATATACTTCTTTCTTTTTTTTTAAGATGCATTGGTAATGCTGGTGCCTTGCTTTCATAATGAATGAAACCTGGATGAGAAACACTAAAGTTTGATATCAGGCCTAGAATAATGGAAGAAATTACCTAACAAAGGAAGAAGTAAGTTTAGGTGTAAAACTTTAAAATATGCTTCACTTTCTAACATGAAGATGGATAGATATATTGTTAAGCAAGTCAGATGAATACAAGCAGTATCCTGAAGAATAATAGATGAAAGAAAATACATATTTGAGGAAAACAGGTTAGAGTAAGTGAAAAAAAAATAACAGTGAAGAACAAATACATCCAATTGTAAAAGTCCAAATACTTTTCCTAAAGTTAAATATGTATCTCTTCTTGATATAGTATTGCAATGAAATCAGAATACTTGGATTAGTGGATAAAGAGATCCATCATAGTGCCCAAAGCCAATCAGGTCATTTCAGCAAAAGTAGAAAATCCCCCAGATATTATGTTTTACCTCAGCCTTAAAATATAATATGAATAATTTAAAAACTAATAATTTGCACTCCTGCCTAACAATCTAACATTCCTGTGTGAACTCTAAAGATTGGATTATATTTGCTCCTTAGGCAATCAAAACATACATGAACTGGATTGAGGGGGAAATCTGGATTGAGGATGTCTGCCATTTCTTTTGCCAATTATTATCCACCCGTTTTTCTGAATCAGTAATACATTGTCTTCCTTGGTATGACAAGCATTAGTAAAACCTGATTTACATTTACATTTAATTCCCTAAACTGATTCTCCATCTAAAGAAATTTCTTTGAAGAAATTTCACAAAAAAACATGGCCCTGACTAAAATCCAAGAGGTTTTGTTCATTCTAATTTCTGAAGTAATATTGCATCCATAATACTATCAACCATAGTACTGCAAAATTAAAAAAATACAGTATGAAATTAAATATCACTGTCAATTAAAATATCTCAGAAATAGTAAAGAAAATATACATAGGATCTGGCATCCACATTCTCCAGATTTTATTGGACTCATTAAAAATAATCTCACCTGATAAAAGAGCTCAGACAGGTCTTCCTTGAGAGGAAGGTCCTAGAAAAATCACTATTAGGGAGACCTAATTATGTATCTTGTGATACAAGACTCTTTGTTCAGGACTGAGATTGTTAAATTAGTATCTAAGGAAGGACTTTATACTTACCTAAAGCATATTGGGGCTAAAAATACTAGAAAGCTAGCTCAGATAAAAATGTATTTTTCTCCAGCACTGCAACTTAACAATTGAGAACTGGGTAAAAGTAATTTCCTCCCAGTAATTTACAACGTTAGCACAAAATAAAGCATTAACTGGAAAGCCTCTCAGAAGCCACACAAATGTTCAGGGATTACTGCTTATCTTCTGGATCACAGTCCCCATAGTTGTAAATCTACAATCTTCACTGACAAAAACATGACCATAACAGACCTTTGCCATGCTGCATGTTCTTGTGATTGGGCAAGCAACCTTGCTATGCACTACAGGCACAGCAACTGACACCATTCTCCCAAAATTCCAAATATGCCCATTGGCCAAAAAAGTTAGAGTTCTAACAAATGAGTCATCGGGAATAACAAAAAACAGCAAGTGTTAATACCGTATAAAATAATTGCTATGAGTTAAAAGAGCATGATTTCTGATATTAGAATCTCAACTAATATAAGCCAGTATCAGTTCAATGATACCAATGAACTTCAAGGGTAGAATTCTTTCCTCCCCTTCCATTTTCCATTCTTGGTGTATTGCATTGCACACTTGATGTCTTGTTGCCAGGTAGATTGACAAATTGAAGGAAATTCAGTAAAGAGCAACCAAATGATTAAAGAGCTGGAGAAGGAATGATTTATTGTGCATAATTTAAGTAAACAGTTTTATAGCTTGGTTACACATTGAATTGGAGGATGCCATAAGAAGATGAGATCCCAAAATATAATGGGCAGAAGGATGGCAGAATATATGCAAATATATGAAGAATGCAATTGTAAAGAACAGGAAATTGTAGTTTTCACATCATTATTCTAACAAAAAGGCCAATGCTATATTAATACTTAATGGGGGAAGCCCTCATGAAATAATGTCTAGATGTTTAAAATATAACTCTTAGTCTTGCTTAGCCATCTATCGTTCAGACTATATAAAGTATAGTTCAGCTTTTTGGCTTGCCTGGGCCACCATGAATGAAAAGGAATTGTCTTGGGCTGCATATAAAATATATAATGTTGTTAATGTACTGTATATAAATAACAAACTTCCTTTATTTTTTATAAAAATCTATGGGGCTGTCCAGGGCCATGTTATTCATTTTTAAAATAATTTCTTGATGAAGTAATTCCTTTGCAAGGAACAAGGTAGAAGGAATCATGGGTCAATTACAGAGAATTGTTTTTTGAATGCAGAAGATCATAGGTTTATCTATATTTCAAGTCTTTTGATGCCTGAAAGCTTTATCTATTCCATTGCTATAACTGCATTGAAAGATGGAGTAAGATATGCTAACAAAATTATGTATTCTTACCTAAAATAAATAGGGCAGATCTATCCCATTATGCAACTGCACTCCAAGACTTTCCAACAATATATCAACTTCATTTTATACAATCTTTATAATACTGTGTGATGTAGTGCAATATTTATAGTTTAAATAGTTTAAATTGTTAGTTAAACAAAATAAGTATGGAAGTCAAGTGTTGAATGCCGTTAAGTGTTATAATATGATGACATCTAAACCCTGGTTCAAAATGTAATGGAGCTGAGCCTTTTTGTTCATCAACCATTATTTCATAAAGCAACTATACTGCTATATGAAAACTGTAATCTCTGGCTATACTAAGTTATTTGATGTTTGGCTGTTTATGAACACCTCTAAAACATACAAAGTCTGAATGAATTATTATTTCCATCATGAAGAATTAGGATAAATTCATATGTTATAACATTTATGTTAATTTTTTAACATATGTCTCTCCAGAGGAAATTAAGTAAATTTAGTAGTTTGGAAATAGTGACTTATTCTACTCTTCCGTAAAACTTTATACAAAATTAATTAAAAATACAGTATTTAAAAGGGGGAATTTAGTGAAGATCCAAAGTATTAACCAATTATTTGCTCTTAAGGTCTTTTAGGTATGGTTTCCTATCATAGCCAATAGTTCCCACTTCTCTTTGGTGTTCTTTCATATGTGGGCCTCGAAAAATTCTGAGTTCTTAGACTTCACTACATTACTTCCAATACCACCAGCATTCTATTTCCAATGCAACTGGATGTATGAGCTCTGGATGTGAAAAGTGCCATCTATTTTCGGGATCAACTTTTCTCAATGTCAAGACAGCTAACATTAAGGACCAGTCCCTATTCTCCATCTTATGAAGGTCTATTTTCCAAGCTGATCCAACTATTCTAAGTGTCACTACACCTTGAATATTCCTTAGTTTTCCTGATTGTTTATTACTCTCTTGATCCTGATTTATAACTATTTTGGACAACATGCCTACCTTCTATTCCATTTGGATTAAAAGTCTTGCAGTTACAGAACTTGTCATGCATTCTGAATCCTGATGAAGTCTTACAGAAAACTAATACTTATTTCAACATTTTGTTAATCTTCAGCATGCAAAAGCAATATATAAAATGTCTAACTAATAAAAGCTAGAACAATTAGTGCAGGCTTAGGCACACAAGAAAGCACACCAATTCAGCATTACCTTTTGAGATTTGGGATGAATCAGTTACAAGACAGTCCTTTAAAACAACCTTTCTAAATCTTGTACCTTCCAAATGTGTTGGATTATAATAATCCAGCAGCCCACATTATCAAATTCACTGGCATCAAATGGGAGAATTCATATCTTACAGAGTATATCACTCCCTTCAAAGAAAGCAAAGTATGTTGAAAAAAAATAGTGAGTACTCATGACATGCAATGATTGAATTTCACAGCAATATGATTACCTGTATTCTATCTTCAGGAAGTTCTGTTTTCATAGCCAGCATTTCTCTTGCATAAACATCAGGATAATGAGCCTCATTGAATGCTTTTTCCAGTTCCTCCAGCTGGTAGGATGTGAAGATTGTCCTAAAGGGAATAAAATTCAATGATGAAAAAAGTTAAAAGAAAAAAAGCACCTTAAAAAACACAGCAGTGAAGGAAAAAATAAGAACAGGAATACATTATACAAAAGAGTTATTCTTAGGACAAAGAAGGCCAAGGAAAGTACATTGGGTCTTCCCATCCCAAAGGTGCTTTTTTCAAGAGGCAAATGGACTTTCTGTTTTTTCTTTGGAGACCTTTTACTTCTCATCCAAGAAGCTTCTTAAGAGCTGAAGAAGCTTCTTGGATGAGAAGTGAAATGTCTTCAAAGAAAAACCAAGAAATTCCAGTTGCCTCTTGAAAAAGCACCTTTGGGACAACCATGACCTGGATGACAGACTCTCCATAGACATTGGGTCTTCCCATTCACTGTAGAGGAAAAACTGAAGAGGGTTACTATTGAAGCAAATGAAGATTGCACTCTTTCCATAAAGTACATTAATATTAAAGTGAAGAGGGTAGCAAAACTGTAACTATTGTGGAAATAGAAATAGAATTATAGGGCTGAAAGAGACCTTGGAAGTCTTCTAGTCCAACCTCTTGCTCAAGGCAGGAGTCCTTATTCTATCCCAGACAAATGGCTGTCGTATCTTTCCTTCAAAACCTCCAGCAATGAAGCATCCACAACTCCAGGAAACAAGCTGATCCATTAATTAATTGTTTTCACTGTTAAGAAATTTCTCCTTAGTTCCAGGTTGGGTCTCCTTCTAACAAGATTCTATTTATTGCTTCTTGCCCTGCCCTGCCCTCTAACAGGAATTAATCAAATGTTTCTATGAAAACAAAGACATTATTTTCTTTAAGAAGAGGAGAAATCTAAAATATCTGTCCAGCTTTTCCAGAAAAACTTGAGGGGGAGAGAGGAGAGATACATACATTTACCACTATCCTATCCTATACTACCTCTAATATTTCTGAATAGCTATCATTTATAGTGTGGGTTCCTTCATACCATCTCTCTACTTAGATACTCTTCTCTGGGATAGTAAATAGAATCTGGTTTTGCTCATGTACCCTGTGATCCTAAACATTCCAATGTGAAAGTTAGTGAGCTTGCACCCAAATAAATGTGCTTTAGTCTAAATTTAGAAATTAAATTTAGTACCTATATGTAATAGGTACAGTGTCACCAAATATAAAAGCTACTCCTATTGGTCTTTAGATTTATTCCTGATTAAGCCAGCTTTGTTTTGTTTTTCAAACAAAAATTTGGCACCTTGTTAAAAATAAGGGGCACAATTTAGTTCCGGGTACTATAGAATCAGTTGAATTAATAATAGGTATGGATTAAAAACAGTTCCAAATTAGAATTATCATCATTTCCTTCTGTGAAGTGGAGCATTAACATTCATTAAGAGTTCCATGGTGCTGCAACAAAACCTAACAAGAGGATTCCATAAACTCCATCACTATGGCTCCAGTTAAGTAGTTTTAAATTCTGTGAAATGGAGAAATGTGGGGCTTTCCTTACCTGTAACGAGACACTGAACAACAGATTTTATGATAACATTCAAGTTTTCAAGAACAAAATCCATCTATTTATTTGTCTGCTTTTGCTGTTGCAAAATATTGTTCACATTAATGTTTTCAAAAGAAATTATTTTACCTCCAATCCTTAATTGGCAGAGTAGAGTAACCAATGTGTTACTGATGATGTAACATCATCCTTTATTATCTCCTTTCCTAACATTTGGAAACTCCAATCCTTCTCATTTTCTAATATTTTGTTTGTAAAGAATATACTCCAAACACTGTACAATGTAAGAACACTTATCTTCAGGAATTTAGCTTAGTTTCTCAGTCTGTGACTCTACCGGGTCAAAGCAACTAATTTCATAGTAAAGATATGCTTCATCTAAATCTCAATAGCCTAAATTAGGCATTCTCCTCACGTTAGGCATAAAAAAAAGCCCCTGGAATTAAAAAGAAATGGACGCACAACTCCAGAAGGGGATGAGAGATACCTGCAGAGGCGAAAATGTGTGGATTATGTTGTGCTCCAAATCTGAATAAACATCCTGACTAATTTCTTAAGCATAAAAATTCTCTGGTTATGAGATTAACCTTCCATGGAAGCCAGCTGCATTTCAATGTTTTTCATCTCTATATAAAAGCTTGTGTCTGCAAGTGTCTAAGCACACATACAAGCATATAAGCAAATTGGAAAATAATATGAAATCAACCTTCCGAGAGGAAAAAAAACTGCTTCAAAAAGAAAAAAAAATCAAAGCCAAGATTCTAAAGATTAAAGATTAAGCATTGATTTTTAAATATTTACATATTTCCCAAGAGCATTGTCTACATTTATCCGAATTACTTCTTAACATGCAAATATTAAACACTTCCATCAGCTTAATAATGCTAACATTATGAGGGGCTGCTTCTGCCATCTAATCTGTGTCCCAATCTCGTCTTGCTCTCCCAGAATGATCACCTATATAGATGGAGCAAGCTTCTGTAATGCTTCACTTGCCTTTCTCTCAAAACAAATTGCTTCGCTTATTGTGCATTATTTTAGGACCCAAGAGTGGTGGCAGGATTTTTATTTTTAAATTTGTCCACTCCTTTTGAGGGGAGATAGAATTCCTGTCAAAAAATACAGGCAAAATCCACCCTTTCAAAATGTAATCTTAAAATTTGTTTGTAACAGATTCTTTCAGATTCTGTGTAAAAACAATACTACTAATAGCTAACCTCTCCTCTCTTGCTCGGGATATAGAGAGGTGTAATTCATCTCCATATTGCTACTACTTTTTGAACATTTCCTGAAGACAATGTCTTTTAAAAAAAAATATTGCATTTTGCAAATTATGGAATTATTAACATGTTCAACACTAAAATCCTCAAATTTCTGAAACCATTCATTCTAGACTGAAATATAAAACCTGCAAGAATTCTAACACTGATCTACTACAGAGCAAGTACATCCCTGTATATTGGCCCAATTCATTGAAAAGTTCCTGCCCTCATTTGTTCATATATCAATAAAACTGAGAATTATTTGTTGCAATTTCAATTGTTGTAATTCTCAAAGCAAATAAACCATTCTTTTTTTTTTCATTTTTCATTACAGCTAGCCTTGCACAGGGACATTTAACATAATACAGATATTCTGCTTGTTAGCAAAATTAATCTTCTCAAATCATATCCAGGTGGACTTGCTGCTGAATACACAAAACAGAACCAATATGCAATAGGGGTGCCCAACACTTGTTTTTGTTCTGTTGATTACTTTGGAGGGGAGGGGAGAGAGCAAAATGACAGGATCCTTCTTGGAGTCTGAATCAGTAAGAAAGGACAGCAGACTTTTCTTTGGGTGATTCCCCCAGCTTTACTGTAAAGTGGTGTGTTTTTCAGTCTCCAAACTATTTTTCTTTCTCCTATCTAGAATTCTCTAGATGGATTGGGTTACAATTCTTGTCAGTTCAGACATTGTATTTTATTGCTAATCACAAAAAAAAAACAAAAAAAAATCAGCATCCTTACCAAATGGGAAAGAGAAATTAAATTTATTTTACAGACAAAAAGAAATCTTGATAACTCAGTGATGCTCTTGCTGAGAAGCCAAGCACTTACAGAAAATTAAACCTGAATTAAAAGCTGATCTTGTTGGGTAAAGCAATAGTTTGATTTGTAAACTGCTCTAGCATACTAATTTCTTTGCTTTATTCTCAGCCCTCGATGGCTTTAGGGAAAGTAAAGTGTATGGGGAACCCTTTGGACAGCTCCCTGGGGCAGCTCTGAAAGAAAAGCGCTGGAGATCAGCGAGAAATATAGGAAGGTCCCCCTTTGAGATGTTTGGATTTGACGGTTCGACAAATAAAAATTAGGTGAACAATGCAAAGCTTGGCGTGGAGAAAATCTGGCCCCCAACGCAGCCTCTGTCTTCTTTGGAATTGTGCTTCAGAGTAAAACCTGAAGACCAAGGAGGGATCGTTCAGGATCCATTGACAGAGGCTGTGACGCTACTTGCTGGAACATCGCTAGATCATCGCTCTCCCGCCCTCCCCTCCCCTCCCCAGAGCCCCCACCAGCACCGCCAAAGAGAAACTTGAACTTGAGGGGGATACATGGTGGGCGAGGGAAATGGCCCGCCAGCAAAACCCGGCCAAGCGCACCGGGCCGGCGGCAAGGCGAGGACGGAGGAACGGGTCCTGCTGCTGTTGCCCCAAAGCGCAAATCCCGGCCTTGAAAACGAAGGCTGCCTTACCTGTGCCGTCTCTTCTTTCGCTTCTTACTCTGGTTTAAGGTCGATTTCGACATTTTTCTGTCCGTGGAGGAAACATCTTCGGAATCTGAAGACAGAAAGGCGGGAGCGATGGAGAGGGCTGCTTCTTTGGGGGGGTGGGGGTGGGGGGGGGTTCCCCCCCCCCGCTCCGCGGAACACGTCAGGCTGTCACCCGCAGGCCTTGTCCGACCTTTCTCGGATCGGGGCTTTTGTGGGGAGGATTTCGTTTGATCGGATTTCGCTTCCTGAGGGCGCCCCGTAAACCCTTCCAGCCGGGAGACGCCTCGCTCTCTTCTAGCTACTTTCCCCACATCTTTTCTCCCTCCTGGGCCTGGGTTCTAGTTCTCTTTTTCAAATCAGACCGTTTTCCCACACTGAGATTTCGTTTGTCATTGGCATTTTAAAATATTGGAATTATTGTCATTGGCATTTTAAAATATTAAACAAAACGGAAAGAACGATCAAGACGGGAAAGCAAAAGTTATGTAGAAGAGGGAGAGCTTTTTACACTCCATAGGCAGGAACTAAATTTCTCAGGGAGCTTTTTATTCCTCTAATCTTCCCTGTATTTACAGGTCGGGAAAAGAAAACTCTGGACTTTGGAAAAAGGGAACAGAATAAAGCAGGTGGGCATTTTCTTGTTAGGATCCCTAATCTAATCATGCGCCTCTCTCTCTCTCCTGTTTAACTAGATTTCCCGGAGCATTGTGTTATTTTTAATGCTTACCGTTACTGCATTTCTCTTTATATTACTTTGGTTTACATTTTAAGACATCAAATGATTCATGCTTATTGCCTTAGTGCCCATTAATATGCACGGGACTTTTAGGGTAATTCAAGCCGCACCGCGGCTGCATTTTTGTCCAGAAAAGGCCGAAGAGTACTTGGAGCGAGGTTTGGTTCCTACACCTCTACATCTCACCATTTTGTCCCTCGGTGTTATTAATTTTATTTCGATACACTGTGTGACTGCAAGGCGCTTAGCCGAAAATTGCTCACGTCTGACAAAATCGGGGAAGGTCTGGAAATGACAACGAGCTGGCTCAGAGATGCATCCCTTGCATCGGGGAGACTCTTAAACCCTGCCGGATAGGCTGGGGGGGGCGCAGCGATCGCCGCTTCGGGATCAGCCGCAACAGAGATGTCTGTCTGGAGTGGTTCGCAGCACCTGGTCAAGGACAGAGATCTCACCTCCCGGGATAGCGATTCCCAGCTGTCCCCCAGCTTCCTCCCGGGCCCAGGGCCCTCCTCCCCACTGCTCTGTTCCGCCACAAGAGCTCTACCTGAGCTGGCCGTCTGGCTGGTGTCTAGCTGCGCGGGGGCTCTGCCCAGCGGCTGCAGGTGTACGCTGGGCGGATCGGCCAATACCTCCAGGAAAGTGGGCTGCGCGTAGAAACCCGGGAGGCTGCCGGTGCTGAGCAAGCCCATGCCCATGCCGCCCACCCCGCCTGGGCTGAGGACGGAGCGGGCCGCCAGCAGGTGCCCGGCGGGTAAGGAGTCCAGGGCTGCGCGAGGTTGGGAAGGCGGCTCCTTGTTCAAGCCCAAGATTTCCTGAATGCCGAAGCCGGTGCAGCGTGGTGCTGTAGGGCCCGAGCTAGGCTTGGCCCCTGCGGCACAGCCCCCCACTACACCCCCTGCCCCATTAGAACCGGAGGCCGGCATAGGAGGAGGCGCGCCTTCGGGGGGTTGGGGTTTGCCGGGCAGGCTGTGGGCCAGCGCGTCCCCCGCTTTGCCCGTCATGCTGTGACTGGTCCCTTGTGCCCGCTCCGGGGAATGCTCGGGAGCCCCCGCCTCAGGCCCGTTTTATACGCCCAGGCTGGTGCCCAAGCGGGATCAGAACCCAACAGCCAATCACAGAGGCCATCCGCGATTAGGAATTCCAAAAAGCGGGGGGGGGAGGGGGGAGGGAGACGGCAAGAGAGAGAGAGAGAGAGAAGGTGAAAAGAGAGGAGGCGGGAGAGGATGGTCGGCCTGGGGCGCGCCGGGTGCAGAAGCGCACGGAGGAGCCCAGCCCCAGCCTGGCACCAAAGAGCCTCCGCCACCAAGACCAGAAAGAAGCTCTGCGCGCCTCCCGATTGGTGACAGGTGTGGGAGCGCTTAAGGCCAGGTGACTCCGCGGGAGAGAAAAAGCGAAGGAAGCGGAGCACACACACTCCACCCCCTTCCGAAGGATCGCTCGGCCTGGCGTCGTTTCAGGCCGGGCCCTCGGGCGCCTCGCGGTTGGGAGAAAGCCCGTCTCTCCGCCGATTAGCACCATCGCCGAGGGGACAGCGCGTAACTTGGATTGCTGGAAAGAGGCCCGGAGGCGGCAGAAAGCAGGAAGAGAAGCGGGGGGAGGGGGACTCCCTTGGCTGAGGGGGGGGGGGGGGGGGGGGGGGGGGGGGGGAAAGGCAGGGGGCGCCCCCCCCCCCCCGCCCTTCCTTCGGAGGGGAAGGCAAACGCTGCCTGGTCGGAAGGGCGCCCAGCCACCGAGGTGAATTTCCTTTCCATTCACCAATAAAATCGCCTCCCGCCGCTTCGAGGCTTATTCAAACTCCAGTCCTGGCTGACTTCTGACTTCTTAAAAACAGACCGGTGGAGTGCCAGGCGGGGCATTTGCCACTGTCAGGGAGATGCCCCTCTCCGCAGAGGGTGGCGGGCTTCTAGCTGTAAATTTCGCGGACAGCCCAACGAAACAACGAAGTTGTGTATGCTGCCGGTGGCATATTTTAAACGAACGGAGACTTTTAAAAAGAGAGACGATCGAAGAGTGAAAATTCAATCGTTTTGAAGATCGTTAAGAGCGACCGGGAGATTTTTTTTTTTTTTCCCAAATCGTTTATGCAGTACTTTGAGCTTTGCTCTGAATGGGTGCCATCGAGTGAATTTTAGATTACAGTGATGGTTCAATCAGCATTTGGGCTGAATGAAAATGTAAAAACGATGTCAAAGAGCTATGAAAAGTTAATTTAGTCCACCTTCCAAAAAAAAAGGTAGTTGAATTCGTTTGCTGATTTGCCATAATTAGATTTTATCATGTAAATTCAATGCTGCCCTATTTATATATATACTTTTCAATAGGATAAGTGGGGGGGGAAATTAAATTTGACCACTGGGCAAGTTTATTTTTCATAGCAAAATAAGAGGCTGAAGGAAATATATTAAATATATTAAAACGAATTATATATTTAATAGTGTTTACTTCAACCGAGTATAGAATAATTTTCAATAATTCTCAATAATCTTCATAATCAATTTAAATTTGATTTAATGGTTTCAAAATTATGGCAGCTAGATTTTTAAATATAACTAGATCACATTTAGATTAATATACATTATTTTCAATTTAATGTTTTCTTTCTAAATATCTATTATATTTACTCAAATGGTATTTGTACCTACTCAGATAAAAATTGGACTTTAATTTGTAAACATGGACAAGCTTTCTAAATTAAGAAAGTTTACAGTTATCCAGGAGTACACATTTTTAATTTAAAAATATAGCCTTGTTTTGGGCATTTAGAGAGTATTTTTAAACATCTTTCCCATAATTTTTTAAAGTGGTGTATACAACAAAATATGTTCAAGAGACACTAGAAAGTGCATACTACTGTATTCCTGCTTTTCAGTATCTTTGAGCTGTTTATCTTTCTTAATGCTTAAATTGTATAAATATTTTTGAAAACTGTTTTCTCTGTTCCTTGTCACTATGAGCCACTTTATAATGCCAATTTTCCTGTTGAAATTGTGTGGAATTTTAGTTACTTGTGCATTCATTTTACAGTAAACCCAGAATTTCACAGATGAATGGAGAACTACGGTAGATTGTCTGTTAAAGATGAATGTCTGTTAATTGGTGAATGGGATCTTTGGAGTGCCATCAGAAACCTTGCTTTATTGATAATGGTGAATGGGCAAACAATGAATAATATCCAGACTGATTTGCTAAATAATGAATAATGCTATTATTGTCTGAAATCTGGACAGAACTCTGATCCGGCAAATTTTGCCTGTTAAGTCTGAAGTCTGCTTGAACAAAGTCTGTTAAATAAATGGCTACTACCAGTATATGTTCGTGGTTCATATTATTTCCTACACATCAGAAAAGCAACTTCTCTCATAGAAATGACTTTGAATATTTCATCCATGAGTGAAATATCTAATCCACATTATAAAGCCATTGAACAACATAGGAAGATGTTGCTTTACAAACACTTTGAAGTCACACTAAAAACTTTAATTGTATTAGAAATATGCCCAATGGTTTTGTAAAGTTGCATAGAAATTAGAAAAGTTGGCAATCCATATAAATTGCTTCCTTGCACCATCCTTCCCTCACCTCACACCTTCCAGCACCAATACAGAGCCCATATAGGAGAATCATTTAGAAATCATGGAGTTCCAAGGTGAACTCCTCATTTGTTTTGGTGCCCATGAATTGCATCCACAAGTTGTTTTCAGGAGAAACAACAGAATTCTGCTTTGTTTGTATGAAGCACCGCAGGCAAGTTAAGTGGGTGCTATTGCTATTTGATCTGCATTGAAAAATCCAGATGACTATTAGATGGCAATAAATAAAAGCTTTTTAAATATCTCTTTGCTATCTTATAATTTTCATCTTAGTCAGTATTCTCAGTCCATACTATTTATCACACTAGCCCACAGTCTGCAACTACCTGCTGCTCTGTGCCCCACCCATGGTTCCATCACTGCTAGATAATTCTGGCCAAGCAAGTACCCTAACAAAGTCTGGCTTTTTAAAGATTGAAGAACAAACTGTGGCCCCTGGGGTAACCCTAGGCACCTACCGTATACCCCCTGACAATATTTACTTCATTAACTTTGTACAGTTTATCTGCTCCTTTTGTCAACATATCTTTTCCTCACCACTAACAAACCTTTCAACTGTGTGTCCCATTTTCCAATTAATCATTCATATCCAGCAACCAGTAATTTCAAGGTAGAAGTTTCCATTAAATAGTCAACAATGTACATGTGTTTGGCTTCTTCAAGTATAACTAAACTATAAATACAGCTAAGGTATATAAGAGAGTCTGTATGATTAAGACAACAGACTAAAAGTAGGAAATTGTAAGTTCCAATCCTGTCTTAAGCACAAAGCCAGTTGGATGACTTTCTCTCAGCTCTAAGAAAAAGAGAATGGCAAACCACTTCTGAAAATATTATCAAGAAAACTACAGGTACTTGTCCGACCACAATCTCCAGGAATCAACCCTGATCTGGAAGGAGGAGGGTGGGGGGGACATCATATGCCTTCTGTTAATTCACATATCTGCATCTTTTGAACTATACTCATGAGATCTAAATACAAAGGGTTGACTGAAAATAGAAGTTAAGATTCTTTTTTTTTTATTAAAGAGTTTTACAAAAAATTTTACAAATATTTCCCCATCCCCCCCTCCCTTCCTTACCCTCCCCCCCCACCCCCGAACTTCCCGGAACAAAATACAGGGTATAACAATTAACAAACAAGAACAAACAAGAAGCTAAGATTCTTATGACCACAAATTTTGTGTGTGTGTGTGTGTGTGTCATCTATCATATTTAAGAACCACCTCATCTCCTTCAAGTGGGCATTGTAAACTTAGTTTACTGGAATATATTGTCAGAGGGATGAATTATAAATCCCACACTATCACATCATCAATCATATTATAGGTAGAAACATGGAACAACTACAATAATAAAAACAATAATACACCCTTCTGTAAATTTATGTTATGTATATGTTACAGTAGATAACAATTTTAATCACCTTAGCCACCAAATTTTGGATGGCAACAAGTTGAGAGAGATTCAAAGAACAGGCTTTGATAAACTCTTCCAGTTCCCACTGTGCTGTTTTGGATGTGGCTAGCAAAGACATCTATTTAATTGCTTTGCTAACCAGGCTAGAATTCAGGATTCTACCCGTGTTTCCCCGAAAATAAGACCCTGTCTTATATTTTTTTGAACCCCGAAATAAGCACTTGGCCTTATTTTCATGGAGGTCTTATTATTTTGGGGCACATGGACAGCCCATGGCCAGGCTCCTCTTGCCGTCTTACCTGATTTCCAGCTCTGTCTCCCTAACCAGAGGAAATGGCGGGGACCGGCTGCACATGCCTTTAAATATTTTCAGGGAGGGCTTATTTTCGGGGAGGGCTTACTTTTTGGGGGGCTTATTTTAGTGCATGTGCTCAAAAGCCCGACTGGACTTATTATCAGGGGAGGTCTTATTTTTGGGGAAACAGGGTATGAGTTCTAGTCCTGCCTTAGGCATGAAAGCCAGCTGAGTAACTTTAGACCAGTTACTCTGTGTCATGACATCAGGATGGTCAATTCTTGTCACAACCAATGGATCAACCTTTGGTTGATCCAAAAAGAAAAAGAAAAAGAAAGACTCTGCACTTGCAGGAAAATGCTAGGAAGAAACAAAAATGCCCACTAACAATTATATATATACTCAAGCCATGAACCCATACATCTCTTTTACTCACTTGTTAACTTTTATTAAAGCCACTAGGAATTCTAAATCTCGTACTAAGTTCAAAATTAGTTGAATTAGCTGAAAATTAGTTAGAAGGCAGTTGGTAGGGGCAAAATAAAGAAAGTGATCATGTTGTTGTTGTTGTTAGTTGCAAAGTCGTGTCTGTCCCATCATGACCCTACGGACAACATTCCTCCAGGCTTTCCTGTCCTCTACCATCCTCTGGAGCCCATTTAAACTCACACCTACTGCTTCAGTGATGCCATACAGCCACCTTTTTCTCTGTCATC